AAAGATGACTGGTAAGGGGATCTTAACCCTTGACTTGGTGTTGTCAGCACCATGCTCAGCCAGTGAGCGAACCGGCCATCCCTATATGGGATCCGAACCCGGGGCCTTGGTGTTATCAGCACCGCACTCTCCTGAGTGAGCCACGGGCCGGCCCAAAGCTTTAAAGAACTTTGTACAAGTTACTGGGAAATCAAGGGCAAGGTTTTCTGTAGGCATAACATTTTTCATAAAAAACACCTGATGGACTGAATCCTACATTACAATTTACAATGTGTGCCACGTTCAAATAACAAGTCAGGACTATTAAAAAGAAAGGATAAAAATCATGAGGAATAATGTTGGCGAGGCAAAAATATGCCAAACTAAATGTCACCATTATTACACTTTCATTACTTTTCAAGAACTGCTTCTAAAGTATGGTTTGTAAACTACCTATGCCAAAATTTCCCGGCAAAATTTTCCTAATAAAAATATAGATTCCTGGGTCCCATCCATCCCAAACTTAATGAATTAACTTTTTTTTTGGTGTTCGTGTTACTGAGTTTGCAGTTTTAAAAAGATGCCCCAGGTGATCTAAGCACACCGAAGTAGGAGCAGGCTTCTAATTTTCTATTTGATTTCTCAATTGAAATCTAAAAACCAATTGGCTTTAAAGCTTCTCCTACTCAGACCTAGTTAATGCCATCACTAACATCCCAGCCAACAAAATCAGAACCCAGAAATTCTCTCACTTTTACATAACAGATTGTTTTGTCAAATCTCTTAATATCCACCTTTAGCTCCTTTCCATTCTCTCTACAACATAAATCTCTCCCTAATTCCAATCTCTTGAAAAGATGGGCCCATCAATCCTTCCATTTACATTACAGCCATATAGCTATCAGCTTGATGTTAGGAACACATCATAAACTTTAGTGTCTGATACACATAGAATTGAAGTTCAGCTTGCCCCTTATTAGATAGGTGGCTTTGAACAAGTTACTTTATCTCTCTGAGCTTTAACTTTATGATGAGCATAAGAGGGGACAAATTTCATTATAGGGTTATTGAAAGATTGAAAGAAATGTATATACAAGCCTTCAACAAAGTTTGGCATGTAACAGACACTCACATAAATAACAATAATAAGTACAAGAAAGGTCAGAGCATTTCTTTTTTTCTTTCTTTTTTTTTTTTAAAAGATGACCGGTAAGGGGATCTTAATCTTAGATGACCGGTAAGGGGATCTTAACCCTTGACTTGGTGTTGTCAGCACCATGCTCTCCAAGGTGAATGTTGTCAGCACCATGCTCTCCCAGGTGAGCTAACCGGCCATCCCTATATAGGGATCTGAACCCGTGGTCTTGGTGTTATGAGCACCACACTCTCCCAAGTGAGCCACGGGCCGGCCCTTAGAGCAATTCTAATACTTTAAAATTCTGGGCTGGCTGGTTAGCTCAGTTGGTTATGGCATGGCCTTGTAACACCAAGGTCTGGGGTTGGATTCCCTGTGCCAGCCAGCTGCAAAAAAAAAAAAAAAATTAGTAAGTAAATAAAATAAAATTCTTTTTTTTTTTTTTTTCCCTTTTTTCGTGTCCGGCAATGGATCGCAACCCTCAGTGTCGTGCCCGTACCGGACCAGGACCGGCAATGGGATCGCAGCCCTTGATGGTGCGCCGGCACCTCGCTCAGCCAGTGAGCGGGAACCGGTCTGTATGTGGGATCCGAACCCTCGGCGGGAGCGCCACCGCGCTCCCAAGCGGCGCACTGTAGCAGTGCGCCACGGGCCGGCCCCATAAAATAAAATTCTTTTTTTTTTTTTTTCCCTTTTTTCGGGTCCGGCAATGGATCGCAACCCCCAGTGTCGTGCCCGTACCGGACCAGGACCGGCAATGG